ATTGTCCAAAGTGTTCAAACTTACTGTTTACAACTCTCCCATAACAACACTGTTTTAAAGTATATAAATAAGTTACTTGGGCAATTAATTTGCATTAGCTAATCAACAAACTTCTTCCTTTGACAGCTTTAATGGCACCAAATTTTAAAGTGAAATTTCAGAAAAATTAATAATAAGCACCTATAAACTGAGCTACAGAGAAAATTTTGTGTTTTGACCAAACTTACCATTTAAAAGATTTGTCTAGTCACTCAAATGAAAATGTAATTAAAATATTTTTTTGATAAAAAAAAAAATTCTACTATATATCATGTAAAAAAAGATTCTGTAACTTCGTAGTCATAAAGAACAAGAGTCTATTCTTATTGAGTATTTAAGAAAAAATAAAAAAAAAAAACCTATGCATCTAAAAAAATGCGATTCAATTTTATATATAAAAATGCATCAATTATTTAATCAGAGCATACTAATGCGAAATTTTCTTACCTATTGTTTGGACTTAAGTTTCTCTATCCTTCCCCGGAAATAAATCTGAAAGTCCGAATTCTAATTTTCTTTGGCGTCACCCATATTAAATTTATATTTTTATCCACACTAAAATCTTAAATTTTCTACTTACGACTTTTAATATGACAAATAAATTTATAGTATAGGGACCCATTAATAAATTCGATTATTAGCCAATTAGCAGGGTTTCTTGCACCTGTTATATATTTCATTGTTCTTTAGATTTTCTACAAAATTTTTACACAAATTTTTTCACATTAGGGTTAATTTTTAGAGTTAAGGTTAGGATTTGGAAGAGTTTTTGGGGCATTAAGCATTTTTACTTAAGGCACCTCACACCGATTAATTGGCCAGTTTTTGAAATACTATATACATAGGTGTAAGAGCGTTTTAGTAAAAGTCTTGATCCTTAATCAACGAACGGCTCACTAGCAAATAACATTATAAGAGAGAACAGCAACAGATAATGAAACTGGCTAAACTATAGATGCAGAAAGGCGTGTCAACACGTCTTTACAATGAGATATAACCCAGTAACTAAGTACACTTTTTTAAACTGAACTTTTTTTCATTTTCTGAACAAGCCTGAGGGTTCGATACAGAAAGAGTTGACTGTACGTCAAAATTTTTTAAGCAACCTTAAGGCCGATGTCAAACGAGAAATTGAAAAAAAAGCGCTCTTTATTTCTGAGGCGCGTACAAAGGAACCTATGGTTAGCACTTGAAAATTGTTTGAGCTTTGGTTACCTAGCATAGCTACTTGGCTATTTATGGCATATCTAATCCAACCGTAGTATTTATCTGTTAAAGTACTTCCTATAATACTAGACCAGTCTAGCACATATAATTTTATTGTACAAAAAAAAAAAAAAGGAAAAAAAGCTACAAATATGATTTATGAAAAAAATATAAGTGAGCCAAGAAACCCCTTTCGACATTAAAAAAAAAACAATTTAACGCTGATGATGATGATGATGATGGTTGTTACTGGGAATGTTGCACAACGTAAGAATCTGTTGCCTGCTAATTTCTAATAAATCATTTCCTCCGTACCAAAGGGTATCCAAAACCCATTCGGCGCTCAATCCAAGTATTCTAACAAGCGCAACAATGCAAACAACTGCAAATACGACTCCGAAAACAACTCCCAAGATCAATCCTACTGCACCACCAAAAAAACTCAATGCTAAAGGGGTACCAATGCCACCAATGGCTGCCAGCATGCCAAAAATCACAGGACCAATAAATAACGAAACAAATGCAGCGAATATTAAGGTACAGAGGTAGAAGTAATGCCAAACTGGATGATCTTCTCGAAGTTCGCGAGGGTTCATGATGTAGTGTACTAGACCTTTGCCAGCTGCTGAATCTCCGTTCATCATTACCATAGCAAAGTTAGACTCAAGTCTCTGCCTAGTTTCGTATTCATGATTGATAACTTTAGATGGTGAATCTAGAAAAGTAATACAATTATTAAAAAAATAAACCAAAATTTAATTACATTGTCAGAATAGTATGTACCTGATGATAATAGACTTTCTTTGGATAGAGTTTTGGTTGCAAGAGGTGGCGAAGTTGTCATGATTACAAAATTGCTCTCGAATACTATAAACAATCAAATTACAAAAATGTAAAAAATACAATTTTTTTTGTTAAAAGGTTGAAGGATATATATTCATTCCAGCTCTGCAATTTATAATAAACGGCTGAAAAAGTCACATGTCATTCAAATTGTTTTGGCAATTATGAATCGGTGCGCACTGTAATTATGCCAATCACGAACCGTTTTATAGGAGAAAGTTCTGATAAGCATGCTGTCCTGCATAAAATAAGGTAATCTCTCTAACAGAATTTTTTCAAGTGAAAAAAGGATCAAATGATTATACATTTAATGATTTTTCCTGTGAAGACACATGCAAAGCATTTTATTTATGTTTCACTAGATAAACTTGGTATTTAAGCATATGCATAGGATGAAAATGGGTTGACGATTGGTACATCACGTGATAAACTATACGCAAATTAATAGAATTCTTTCTAAGATGCAAACTTCTTCTGGTCTCAAGTATGTGCACTTTGCTCTCTATATTCCTTTAAATGCGAGTTTTTGCTACTTTTTCCTCATAATGTGTCGGTTGTATTACTACTTATCGTTATCCATTTTAGCATATTATTGGAATTGGGCCATTGTTATTATTAAAATACTCTAATTTTAATAAATATAGATAAATTCATTTTAAATTCCGTTTAATTTAATATTTTAGGATGATTTAAGTTTTTAAGGAAATTAATAAAGATCCAATCCATAATAATGCATTTGAAAAAATCCAGATTCATCTAACGATTCCAACATTAAAAGAAATTCTTCACGTAATCGAATGGATTTTAGCAAGATTAGCTTTTCGAATATTCACTGCACCTGAAAAGCTCACAATACCACATGTCCGAATAAAGTTACGCCCTTCATCATAACCTGCATTGCGTACTACGTACTTATTTATACCCTTCTATTAACAAGCCTTACTTTTTTGGACTATTGAACTATCTTTTGTAATACAAAAATACGTGAAAGGATATATTTGAAGACAATATTGTATACTTACGTACCTATTTGTCCACTTCTCCAACTCACCTATCTTCGACAGCTCTACCCATGAAAATTTTATTCAATCTAGACTTAATCTGTCAGACCTAGGGATGTTAATCTGTCCCGCAGTAATTGTAAGCTAATTTTGAGTGTTTGAAAAAATTTGTAATTTTTGAGTGGTTTTTATCTAACGTGTAAAGTTATGGGAAATTTAATAAAAGTTTGTCGACGGGTCAGATTAGAAACCGAACTAGTGCGGAGGAAATTTAATTGACGGTCCTAAATCTATCCTATCTGAATTACTCAAAAACTTAATAATCTATACTAAGCATTTATAAAAAAAAATATCTACAACTTTACTTATTGACTAAAATGCAAATATTTTATTTGCTCACATTTGCTGCGGCGAAAATAAAATCTGTGCTCGGTTTAGAATCACGTGATGAAAATCATGTGAAGTTCATTGAACTAGTGCATATTTATGCACGTACATGCATATCAGTAAATTACATCCCTTTTTAAGATTATCGATTATTGCACAATCAGCATCCCTTTTTAAGATTATCGATTATTACACGAAGCTTTTCGAAATATACAGCATATTATACTTATTTCTCGCGCTTCTTGACGTTTGAAACCTAATATAGTGTAAGAGATATTATAGTGCACAACATATTAAATATGCGAGAGTTTCTGTCATACACTAAATTAGTTAAATTTAACTATACTGTATTATTATTTAAATTTGCAGGTTAAAAATTTAGTTAAAATAGTGTGCAAATATCATTCGGTTAATATAAATTAATTAATTGTTTCTTGTATCTATAGTATTTCACAGATTAATGACATTTAAACTTTATATAATTAGAACTATTTGTTAAATTTGTAATAGCTTTCACGTTTTCAACAAATATATAACAGATAAGTTTAATTTCACCAATTTGCTATAATATTTTTATGTTCTTTATTTTTTTTTGAAGTAAAAAACATAAAACTTATAAGTGGTTAAAAATTAATACCCAGTTACTTTAAAATTCATTACTTAAGAAGCAATTAATTAACTATTGCAAATAGATTAACTATGTTTAAGTTTTTCCGATAGAGATATTTTTTAACCAGCAATTACTTAATACCCATTCGGCTTGATTTCTTTCAAAGCTTGATTTAAATCATGTGGACGTTTTTTATTTATCCTTTTCGATCGTGCAGGCATAATGAAACGGCTTGGCTCCTCTTGCTGTTCAGTATCATATGTGTTATTTTCCTTGTTCTTTGGCCTTCCTTGTGTAATTTTATTGAGCTCACGGGTTGATCCTTTCTTACGTCTAGAGGCTGCAGCAACTTGCACTTTAATCCTTTTTCCCCCACGTTGATAACCATTGTTATTAACTCGACTTGTATTCCAATCACATGTTTCAAAGAAAGAAGCTACTGCCGGGCGGACATGGGTATCTTGTATAGAACGACGCTTCTTGTAAATATCAACAAATTTACACACACTTTTTTCCAATGCTGGGTCATCTTCCTTGAGAAGATTTTCCAAATCATTACTAAACCAGCGTAATTTATTTATAGCTGACTGATGATCGGTATCACACTTTTGTTCACTTATATCATAATTACTAATATCACCTTCACTATCGCTTAAGTGCACAGAAATGGATCCGGGAAGTTTACTTTCATCATTCTTATAATCGCGACCATTTTCATAAGCGATATTAACCAAATTATTGTTAATTTTCATCATAGATTCTGCTGTTGTGTGTACACAATCTTGTTCATATTGTGCTTGATGAAGGTTTGTATAAAAGTTGAGCTCTTTGCATTTCTCACCCAACACCAGATAAGCATAATAATGTCGATTGCTTACTGACATCGTAGGTATCTGATTCAGACCACAAATGTTATAATGGAATGCAATTGAAGACTGATGCTTACATGGAGCACCTGTTGGACTACATTCACAGATCCCAAGCCGCATATCGACAAGGTACCATATATCTCTATTTTTGCTGCTTCTATGTTTAAAAATCATTGAATCAGAATTTACTACATTGATATCTTCTCTTAATCCAATTTTCCATCCTGAGAGTCGAAAACGGAGTGAAATAAATCCATCTAATTTATTGTGTGTTACAGAAAGTAATTTACAAGTATAGTAAAAATTCATTGTGCTAATAATAAAATGGAAAATCTGTACTACATTAAACACCTGTATTCGCCCAAAAACAATATCCTTAATTATTTGAATCCCTGCTTCTGCAAAATTATTTGTGTTATTGTTTCGGATTGGTAAGTTTTGACGAAATACAATGGCCCACTCTTTGCATCTATTCCATGCGACTTCAAAATACTTTTGAAATTGCGGATATTTAGGGTATGCCTCATTTGTTACAAGTGCCATATATTCTTTCTCTAATATGATTACAGTTTTTGCGAAAACAATCCTTTTTAAACATTCAATAAGAGTAACACAATCAACCATATAAATGCCATGTTTTGCGTCCCATAACCACCTTTATGCAGCCTGCAGACAATGAAAAATGCATAATAACAAAGTTGCCTTTTTCCAAGTATAGTTTAATGCTTTTCTTTCCGCGGCACAATCATCAGTCATAATAATTTGTGACCCAACTGTAGACCCACGTTTACCAAATGCTTCTGATGGCATTATATTCTTCAATGCATTCAAAGCTCTTGTAAAAGTTTGTGCTGTCTCATCTGATGTGAGTATTACAGCAAGGGGTAAGCCACCAACTGGTGTGCTTGTTGAGATGATAGTTAATGGCGTATTAAGGGTGTTAAGACTGGCAGTTGTGTCCATATACACCAGTTCACCAGCTTGTTGTAAAGTATGGCAACGTTTCATTAAATCTGTTAAAATAATTAGAATAAACGGTTGCCCAGGATCGGACTCTGTTGGAGCGACATAAGGTTGCATCCAGGCGCTTCCTTTTTTGCTGTCATTAAACTTTGCAACCTCTTCAGCCAAATGATTGAACATCTCTTTTCTATTCTTCGCACCAACAGTCTTATCAATATACATTTGATGAAGATAGTAAATATCTTGTTTATTTGGACAAATCGCCCTATCTGCTAAAACCTCCTCATCATTTTCGTACTTTAACTGTATCTCCTCTAGATAAGTATGATATGCGGTTGCAGAACTATGTCCGACATGAAAAAGCTCAAAAAATGCTTCTTTTGTTTTACTAGATATAGAACAAAAGCTCATAACATGGCTTGATGCAAAAGGGTGATTGTGGTGAAATAATAAAATCACTATGCATGGATAAGTAACAACTTTGTTTTGTAATTGTATATTAAGCGTCGCTGGACAATTTGTATCTCACTTACGTGTACTAATTGCTTTTTTTTCACATATAGTTTCAGTATTCAAATTATTAATTTTTTTCCCTGTTTCAGTTTTACCATATGACTATGTATGCAATGGAAGCATTTAGAAAGAAGAAGACGTGCACCCTTAATAATTCGTCCTTGAGATTCTCACATGATTACTTTGTGCAAATTCATAAACTTATCAAGCCAAGGATTGGCATCATCAATTGTACAAATATTTATGCGAAATTTTGCCTTGAATGGTTCCGCATGTGCACCCAAAAAATTATGAGGTTGAACTGCTTCAAATGAATCGATAATATAATTGTAGTTTTGAGGTAAAGCATTTTGCAAAATATTAAAACATGTTTGTGTGATATTAAGATTATATGATGTTTCAATATTGGGTGTATTCGTTTTATTCGTGTTTAATATTAAGTCTAGCTCTATTTTTTACCAAAAAAATTTATAAAGAAAGACCTCCGTTTTAACATCTGTTGTGTGTGAGAAAGGCGTTACTAACGAATGGTATTTTTTTTTAAATACTGAAATATGGAAAAAAAATTTATGATGTAATTATGAGTTAAGTATAGTATAATATTGCATAATGTTTCAAAAAAATGTAGTAATTATGATTTAATTGTGTAAATATGAGTTTTTTTTTGCCAATCAATATCCAATCCAAAAGTAACAAAAAATTCATATGTCAATTTAGGTAATCAATATACAAACTCATTACATCATTCTACAGGATCTTATAAGGTTTAAAATTTAATTAATGTTAAAAGAAGTACGATAACGTGTTTAAATTATTATTATTGCACAGTATGTGGCTTTATTTTAATTTATATTTACAAGTTTAGTAAGTTTACTAATTATAGCGATCTTAAAGTTTATGAATTATAAGTGCAATAACGAATGAATATACAATAGTGTTGGAAATAAACATAATAGAAAATGTGTAAATTGCGATCAATATAACACTGAAGCTTGATATCAAACATATGAGCAAGAGTGGACGAATGAAAATAAAGATGTTGATGATTGTGAATGTAATTGAAGAGATTTCATTTAATAGATTAGGTTTTATAGTTCAGGAAGGAATATTGAATTTATTGGTGAAAGTATAATTATGGCTTGATGATAATTTCAAATATAATATTATTATATTTATATTCTTATAAGCACATATTATAATTTTTAATATTAAGAAATTCAGAATAACTAATATACATTATTTTCTTCAATTGACAGTAAATTTTTATGAATATTTTAATATTAAGGCAAATTTTCCGTTTTAAAGACAAACTCTTATTTGGACTAATTTCCGTTTATTTATTATACCTTTATACTATCATGCAAGTTGATGATAAGATCGCTTTATAAAATGCAATCTTGCCAAATTGTAATGTGGCAGCTTCTTCTAAATGCCGTACCGCAATTAGCCGTAGTACTACAATTTATAAATCAGAGCGACTTTAAGAATATTACATCAATTACAATTATTATGAATGAAATATTTCTAACTCCCTAGAATTTCAGATCT